GACAACGATCTCCTCCTAATCCACCCCCCCATTAAAACCTACCCCACTCCCACCAAAAAGAGCACACCATCAAACAACACCAACCCCCACACAAGTTGATATTGTAGTTTGCTCAAGAGTGGCTAAAATTTCGCTCTAATTTTTTTTTTTTTTTTTTGCTTTATTCCCACCAGGTCAATGATACAAATGAGTTGTACCTGGAGGATCTGTACAATAAGCCCCTGAGTCTGGGGGGCAGGCATATGTACACAGCGTTTGTAAGTATGAGTAAGGGCTAGAAGAGTTATGTAGTGTGTTTTAATGGAGTGTTGTGAGGCGTTGGGTGGCAGACATGTGTACACAGAGTTTGTAAGGATGAATAAGGGCTAGAAGAGTTTTGTAGTGTGTTTTAATGGAGTGTTGTGAGGCGTTGGGTGGCAGACATGTGTACACAGAGTTTGTAAGGATGAATAAGGGCTAGAAGAGTTTTGTAGTGTGTTTTAATGGAGTGTTGTGAGTCTTTGTTTTAATTTAAACTCAGCATTATAAACTGCAGTATCACGAGTCTCCACATTGTATGCTTTCTCTGACTCACGGAAAAGTTTCATTGTCAGCCCCTGCCGTAATCATAGCATTGTGATCCCTACCTATGACGTGTTTTCCCTATCTATGATGTGTTCCCTATCTGTAATGTGTTACAGATATATTGTATGTTCCCTAAATTTGTTATGTTCCCTTTCTATGATATGTTCCCTATCTAGGATGTGCTCCCTATCTATGATGCACACATGAAATCATCGGATAGTTTTTTGGCCGTAGTTTTTTTATGATACTTTTATATCAATAACTTTCAAAGCAGATCGTGTTTAAAGAAAACGATTCAGCAATAAAAATGACAGGAGAAAAGAAAGAAAGAAAAAAATAAGGGGGGTTGTTAGAACACAACGCAACTTTTGACAATAATTGAAGGGAAATAATCCTAATAATAATTTATTATTCTAATTTTATAATTTTTATTGCCCCTTATTGAAGAGTTAACACTTAAAGCATTTTGAGCTGTTAAATCAGCACTGTGTTTATATCAATTGAGTTTTTGTTGTTGTTTTTTAAAATAACTTTTTAAAACACCTTTGAAGGAATAAACCACGTAGATTCAAACCAAACAATCGTGTTGTTGAAATGTTATTTAAATTACAGGAGAAGGCAACTCACGATGATAGATGGAAAGAGGTCAGTAATTGCTAGAGTTACCAGTCTAGCTAGATTAATGTATCCGTTTATTGTTACGACGGTCCTCACGCAGTTACTGCAAATGTGCAGACTCTGTCATTTAAATAGGGGTCTAATAATGTGACATTAAAGGCATACAGGAACTCAGACTGAACACTATCAACAGTACACGTTAAAATAAGACTCCCTGAAAACTTGAGTGTTACTCTAAAACTAGAGGCTTACTCTAAAACTAGAGTGTTACTCTAAAACTAGAATGTTATCCTAAAACTAGAGGCTTACTCTAAAACTAGAGTGTTACTCTAAAACTAGAGTATTACTCTAAAACTTGAGTGTTACTCTGAAACTATAAGCTCTCTCTAAAACGTGAGTGTTACTCTAAAATCAGTGTGTTACACTAAAACTAGTGTGATACTCTAAAACGAGTGTGTTACTCTAACACTCGAGTGTTACTCTAAAACTAGAGTGTCGATCGAAAATCAAAATGTTACTTTCGCCAATTTTTAATACTCTAGTCCGTAATCGTGAATTTAAGGACACCACTGCAAAACGGTTTCCATCGAAATAAAACACCATCAAACCGGAAGGAAACACTAGTAATGTTAAAAGTTGCTACACTCTGACTCCACCATGTATTAGTAATGCATTGATTTTTCAACGTGCGAAATTTAATCATTTTTAAGACGTTAGGTCATTCCCCTAAATTCTTAACCAATGACGTCTTTTTATGTTACAGCGTCATTTGCATAGAACCGTATTCTCACATCTTTGGAGTAATCTAATAATTCCTCTATTTCTGCTATAACACACAGGGCAGGAAGAGGGTTTCCCGATCGCCAAGTAGATTAGATGCCAGTTCGAAGTCGTCATTAAGCTTCAGAAACTTTTTCAAGAAAAACCGATCTGCCAGCAACAGCAATGACACCGGTCTTGTGTCTTTCTTGGACTCTCTCGTCACTGAGGTATGTGGTGGCAGTTGTTAAAGATGCTGAGGAGGTGGGAGTTATCATAGAGGTTAGTGTTGTGAGAGTTATCATAGAGGTTAGTGCGGGGAGAGTTATCATAGAGGTTAGTGTGGTGGGAGTTATCATAGAGGTTAGTGTGGTGAGAGTTATCATAGAGGTTAGTGTGGTGAGGGTTATCATAGAGGTTAGCGTGGTGAGAGTTATCATAGAGGTTAGTGTGGTGAGAGTTATCATAGAGGTTAGTGTGGTGGGAGTTATCATAGAGGTTCGTGTGGTGAGAGTTATCATAAAATTATAGAGGTTGAGAAGGTTAGAGATATCATAGAGTTTAATGGGGTGAAAGTTATTAGAGAGGTTGACGAGGTAAGAGTTATCCCTGAGGTATTGTGGGGGGGCAGTTATTATAGATGTTGAGGAGGTTAGAGTTATCATATACGCTAAGGAGGTGAGAGTTATCATAGAAGTTGAAGAGGTAAGAGTATGATAGAGGTTAATATGGTGAGAGTTATCAGAGAGATGATTGAGAATGTGAGATATATCATAGAGTTTGAGGAGGTGAGAGATGTCATAGAGAAGTATCAAGGGAATGTTATCAACGCGAAAGGTGGTTGGTGTGCGTTTCATGTTGTTAAGACTCCAGCTGTGAGCAAGATTCACATTCCCTGACGCAATACGTCAACCGGTTATTGTAGCTCATCCCCAATACACCATAACCAATACACCATAACCAATACACCAACACCAATAAACCATCACCAATACACCATCATCAATACACCTTAACCAATACACCATCATCAATATACCATCACCAATACACAATCATCAATACACCATAACCAATACACCATCATCAATACACCATAACCAATACACCATCATCAATACACCATAACAAATACACCAACACCAATAAACCATCACCAATACGCCATCCTCAATACACCATAACCAATACACCATTATCATACCATCACCAATACACCATCATCAATACACCATAACCAATACACCATCATCAATACACCATAACAAATACACCAACACCAATAAACCATCACCAATACACCATCCTCAATACACCATAACCAATACACCATCATCAATATACCATCACCAATACACCATCATCAATACACCATCACTGATACACCATCACCAATACACCAACATCAATACAATAATCACAAATTCAATATCACCAATACACCAACACCAATACAGCAATCACCAATACATCATCACCAATACACCATCACCAATACACCAACAAACGATACAGGCAATCACCAACGCACCAATCATCAATGCATATCCTAAGATGGTCCCATTCCTTAGAACTTGGCAGGATCGATCTACCATCAGGATGTATTCCTGTAGGATCGTTGATGACGACAGTCATAAGGCAAAAAGATTTACAAAATTCTTCCCACCCCCTCCCCCCTCCCAGCCAGACGGTATCATCCGAAGTGACCACCGGGAGCAGTTCAACGTGAAACGTTACATCCACAACCAGAAGACACAAGGACAGCTCAAAGCTGAATCGACATCACAGAGACGTAGTCGTCGTCGTCGTCGCAGTCGACTTCGTCAGTATATTCCGACGTCACTCGTTCACCCCCAACAACCAACTCTCAAACTCGACCCGGCCAGTATAGCAAACTTGCGTGGGGAACATGTTTCATTGCAATAAACCGTTGTAAGTAAGTCTGCGTAACGTTTGACCAGCTTGCTTGCAATGCAAGAGTTGTGGACGTTTGTAAAAAAAAAAAATATTTCTGATATTCAGCTAAGGCGTTTTAGCATATTTATTTTTTACCAAGTTTGTGTGAAATGACTCATGTGAGTGTTTTTTGGGCATAAAAAGACTATTTGAGCAGCGGTTCTCAACCTGTGCATCGTGACCCCTATGGAGGTCGAACGATCCTTACACAGGGATCGTCTAAGACCAACAGAAAACACATGTTTATGAAGAAGCAACGGAAATAATAAAAATTGTGTGGTTGGGTGTCACCAGGGTTTTTTCAGCTATATCTCAGGGAAAGCCAAGTGCCCCCCGGAGCAAAAATTTGTCCAACCATAAATCAACTGGAACTGCTGGCACTGTTTCCCCCCCCCCCCCGAAAAATCTGAAGTGCCCCACCGAAAATCTAAAGTGCTCCCTCGGGGGAAAATTTCATAAAGAAACACTGGGTGTCACCACAACATGAGGAACTGTATTAAAAGGGAAAGCCAAGTGCCCCCCGGAGCAAAAATTTGTCCAACCCTAAATCAACTGGAACCGCTGGCCCTGTTTCCCCCCCCCCCCCGAAAAATCTGAAGTGCCCCACCGAAAATCTAAAGTGCTCCCTCGGGGGAAAATTTCATAAAGAAACACTGGGTGTCACCACAACATGAGGAACTGTATTAAAAGGGTTGAGAACCACTGCATTTAGAGATGTTGCAGGTGACTAAACTAGGGCAGCGCTCCTCAAAATGGGGGTCCTTGGACCGGTGCCGGTCCTCAAACCTCACGTTGCCGGTCCGCACATCATGGATTATGGGCAAATAAAAAGAAAATAAATCCGGCACCGGTCCTTGATACAAGTTCGTTTTATTGTTTAAAAGTTTAGGAAGCACTGCTCCAGGGTATGAACGGTTCAAATCAGTGGTCACGTGTGCGTACCATAATATAAAGCCCGCGCCCTGCAGTGCGGTCATGAGATTTCTATTCGAAGCGACAACCCCAACTCTGATATGACGCCTCTGTAAACGAAGCACAATCATGAACTTTTTAAAACGCGATTGCACACTTTAATGCGAGTCTTTGCACTACTTCCGTTTCTATCTTAACCGGAAACAAACGTCAACATTGAAGCTAACGCCATTCGAATTTATACCAAAGAGTCATAAACATTTACTCTATTTCCGCTACTTGGATGACTTCATCAAAACAATATTTATAATCTAAGATTGACTTTAATTTATGGTTCGCTTCCAGCATGGCGAAAAATAGAAAATGAGAGCTTTAGTCTCAAATATTTTTCTTCATAGGTAATAAATATTGCGGACCAATATTGCATATCATATGACCTGATATAATATCGGTAGTTAAAGAAGTTCGTGTGAAACTTGAGTATTTAAAAAAAAAAAATTCTATTCAAAGTTAAGCTTCTGGTGAATTATTTTCTGTTCATCTAGGCCGTATTCAGAATTAGTTTTCAGTTAAATTTATTTTGGTTGAGTCATATGCATGTCCCCAACTCCTGAGAGTAAAAAAAAACACAATTATAATGTCTCCAGTTTTATCCATATCATAAAAATGGAGTCTATTTTGCAACCGAAGGGTCCAACTCCATAGTATTGGTTTTAAAAAAAAATAATCTTATTTTTGTTTAACTGATATACGTTTATCAGCAGCGAACAATATCGGAAAGCTCAACATAGCATGCTGACCCGATCTGCGTAGATTTTCCGAGCCCAAGCTAGCGGACCAGAACAGCGGCAAAGAAACTGAGTCACAGTTAGAAAGAAAGCACCACAGACCCACACAGAACTATGTTGGTGAGCAGGTACCCCATACCTACTGTATCATTCATTGAGCATTGATTGCTACATGTCAATTAAAAAAAAAAAATATTTGATAAATATTATATTTATTGTTTCCCTGTACGAGTAAGAACATCGACATTTCACCTCTGAACACATTCTCTACTTGATGTCTCAGGACATTGGTGTAGGGTACATCAGAATAATTGACATTTGTAGAAATAGATATCTACATCTCGATTGAGCTATCGTTCTTACGTCTTATAGTGTTGTGATAAAAGTTCGGGGGGGGGGGGGATCGGCGGATGGTCAGCTCACCCCGGACCTGGTTGCATTTTTTGGTGGCTAGCATTTTCGGTTCACTTTATACACTAAGTGTGTCTTGTGTCGACGTACACATTCAATAGCCGTCTGGGGCGTCACAGGCTCTAGCTTCTCAGCTGACTACACTCAGCAGGGGGTGGGGGGAAGGGGTGGTAGACATTTAGACAACACTTTGACCATTTGCATACTTAAAAAGAAATATTATTGCGAATAAGATTTTCACAGGATACTAGTAGCTCATTTTTTGTCCATCTTTCATTGCTTCCAAATATCAGAGTGTCAAATTTCCAAAGTCAGACCCGAAAAATTGCCACAACAAGGAATGCGTCGGCATTCTAACAGACGACGAGGTGGCGCTGGACATGCTGAAATCTATCCGGAAGCTGCCGACTGAACGGTACCAGTCAGTGTCGGTGATACTCGAGGACTGCCGGCCGCTGCCCATTGACAGATACCACCCCACGTACCAACTGGGCACCTTCGCCATCACCAAACATTTACAGCCCTTGTGCTCCAACACCGGGAGGAGACCATCGGAGTCGCGGGGCTATCCCCAAGGACCACACATCAGGGTGCCGCCGGTCCCACACGACGACGACCAGGCGAACCCGGAAGGTACGTTGGGACATCATCGGGTTTATGTAACGTCAGCCGTTTTATGTGACATCATCAAGTATGTGTAGCACCATCAGGCATATGTAACACCATCAAGTATATATGATACCATCAGGTATATGTGATAACATCAGGTATATGTGATACAATCGGGTACATGTAACACCATCAGGTTTGTATATGTAACACCATCAGGTATAGTAACACCATTAGGCACATGTAACACCATTAGGCAAATGTAACACCATTAGGTATATGTAACACCATTAGGTATAAGTAACACCATCAGGTATATGTAACACCATCATGTATATATTTTCTGACTCGTGACTGTTTGTTCAGGACTGTTTGTTCACAACTGTTTGTTCAGAACTGCTTGTTCAGGACTGTTTGTTCAGAACTGTTTGTTCAGGACTGGCTGTTCAGAACTGTTTGTTCAGAACTGTTTGTTCAGAACTGTTTATTCAGAACTGTTTGTTCAGGACTGTTTGTTCAGGACTGTTTGTTCAGGACTGTGTGGTAAATCGTTGAAGTTATCCCCCACATCTTGACTGCACATTTAACTTGGCATCACGCCAGATGGACCAGCAGGTCGAAACCTGTCCTAGTGGCCAAACTGTGGACCAGCAGGTCGAAACCTGTCCTAGTGGCCAAACTGTGGACCAGCAGGTCGAAACCTGTCCTAGTGGCCAAACTGTGTACCAGCGGGCCCTAAGAGTCCGTCCTGCACGCCCGTTATGTTTCTCTTCACTTACGATCAGTTTCATGCGGCTTTCTTACGGCCCGCCATTCACGGTGTCCGTTAATTCTCTCAAGATTTTAGTTTGACACACGACATTTATTGCCACTTTGAAGCATGAAAGGTAGACTACCAATGTGGTGTGTGGTGTGTGGTTTGCCATCCTCTTTAGTGAAGAAGTGGCGGGAATTAACGGTACTAGTATTAATCCCCTTCACCAAGAGTTGGGTTGCCTTTTTCTTGCTTTTTTTTGTCCACCCCGTCCGCACATCAAAGTGATTTACTGCAGCTTTAATAACTGCCCAACACCTGCGCTTGGCATGATGCCTGACCTGTCATTATGCCCGTCTTGTCATAATGCCATCGGGTTTCGTCTTTATGCCCGCGGGTCCTGTTATAAAGCCCATTGGGCCCTGCCCTTATGTCCGTCCTGCCCTGTACGGCCTGTCATTTTACCCGTCTTGTCATTCGCCTAACTACCTGCCTTTATCCCTAGACCTTGGATAACTTTTTACCTAAACTAGCTTAGCCTGCTGGTGCATGCGCCTTACTCACGTACTTCCCAGATCCCTTTGGAACAATTAACCATTAACTTGTGACATCCATTGCAGTATCATGGTAATAAGTACATCCTGATGTGTGTTATATATGGGTTTCGCTCTTTTTATTAATGCATTTACTTACATAATATACATATATAACTTCATATCGTGTGGTAAAGAATATTTTTAAAACTTAGGGAAACCATTTTTAAAAAAAATATTCTGCAGATCAGCCAGTCGGACAGCCACATAAGGGAGTTATCTATCCACAATCGTATGCCAACAAGCCCCCATATTCCTGCCCCGGGTATGAAGAGCAAGGCATCAAACAACCAACAGGCGTTATCAAACTTCCCAAAGTTCCTGCAGGACGGAGGAAAGGCATCGTCAATGGCATTGAGATGATGGTGCCCGCCTGGGTCTCACCTCTATACAAGCCCTACGGTATCGGCGGCCCGTATGGGCCGAATGGGCCTTTTTATAGCGTACCGAGTGAACTGATTCCGAAAACGCCGGACTGGAAGACAAAACTCTGGCCCGTCTTCCAGAAAAGTACAAAGCCCGTGGCTCCAGGTACACCCGTGGGTTTGACCGCTGGTGAGAATAAACCCGTGGCTCCAGGTTTAATGTCAAGGTGGAAATCTTTTTTTAATTTGTTTTCGAGGAAAAAGACCGGTCCTGACAGTGAGCCACAAACAACACCAGCAACTGAAGAGGGCGCGGACGGAGAGGAACTGGATGAATCTGGGCAACCCACGGAAATCTCGACAGCTGAGCAGGACCCATCAACAGATCAGCCCATGACGGAAACTCAGAGGCAGTCCACGGAGGAAACTCAGAGGCAGTCCACGGAGGAAACTCAGTGGCAGTCCACGGAGGCTCCAGAGATGGCACCACCACAAGAGGGACCCGTGAATTCAGTGAATGGTGCAATGGACCAGGCAATGGCGCAATCGATGGATGATCCGATGTACAGCGGGTCTCAGCGTGCTGTCAGCTTCGATGATAACTTTACTTTCTGATGGCGCTCATCGATTGTTGGGCTAGAAACGACTCATTTGAAAATTTTGACCCGTGTCCACAAGGGGTTAGACAACATTTGGAAGTTTTTAGTTTGTTTGGTGATAATATTAAACATAGAACTCTGTGTATCAGAAACGAAGTGATTGTTTCGAACTATGGCTGTTTTTTTTATAGTGTGCAGAGCACAAATTTACAATATGGTTATTTTATAAAATATATTATACACTATATAAGATCAGTCCATTTAACGGACCCTTGTAACGCAACACTTTGTCTTTAAGTACCAGTAATACAAGTATACCTGGAATTTATAGTGAGTAGATGTGTTTCATTTCTTACATATAAATATGTTTTATAAATGGAAATGGTCTCTAACTGCAGACCTGCATAACTCATAATGTAAGGTGAGCCGTATTACTTTATGAAAAGCTTGTTCGGGCCGAAAGATGATAGGACAGGGGAAAAGCTATTAAGAAATTAATAATAATTAAGAAAATTTCGTTACTTTGCCGGCCGCCAAGTGGGTGCAGGTGGGCCGCCAAGTGGGTGCAGGTGGGCCGCCAAGTGGGTGCAGGTGGGCCGCCAAGTGGATGCAGGTGGGCCGCGTGCGGCATATTGACAGTTCTTGCACTACAGACGTCAAACACTATGAGCTACACATTGACAGCTCTTGCACGACAGACATCTAACACTATGAGCCACACATTGACAGTTCTTGCACGACAGACATCTAACACTATGAGCCACACATTGACAATTCTTGCACGAGAGACATCTAACACTATGAGCCCCACATTGACAGTTCTTGCACGACAGACATCAAACACTACGAGCCACACATTGACAGTTCTTGCACGACAGACATCTAACACTATGAGCCACACATTGACAGCCCTTGCACTAAGGACGTCAAACACTATGAGCCACACATTGACAGCCCTTGCACGACAGACCTCAAACACTTTGGGCCACACATTGACAGCTATTGAACTACAAGCCAAGCGATGGAATCGACTAGTAGACTTCATAGTCTCCAAAACTGGAACAATTTCCATCACCTCATCTAATTACATCCATCGTTTTGCTGTTTTAAACTGAAGATGATTAACAGTCTTCTATTGGAGGGCCTCTGGTAAAATAATTGTCTGTGTGTGTGTGTGTGGGGGGGGAGGGGAGGGATATTGGCGTCTTGTGTGGCGAAAGTCAACCCCCTCCCATGGGACCATGACTATCAGTAATACGTAATGTACAGTTTAAACATATTGTTAAAACATTGTGGAATATTCTATAATAAAAGCGACAACAACAATTACAGTTTTTGAACCTAAACGTTCAATGATTCTTTAAATATTATTTCAGAAAATTAGATCATCAAATCTACTAATTGTTTTTTTTTTTTTTTTTTTTTGGGGGGGGGGGGGGGGGAGGGAGAATTTTATTTTCCCTAATTTGTATTTAAAGTTTTAAAAATAGTATTTCTGACCTGAGCGTTTTGCGATTAAAAATGTGCAAGTTCGAA